ATGAATTAATAAAAATAGGTATTTTTTCAGCTTTCTGTCGATAAAATGAAAAGACATATCTTATTTACATTGATCTTGAGTCCGAGCTGCAGTTGTTGATATAATGTTTAGCATTATTTGTACTTTGTCATAATTGTCAGCAAAAAGCTGTATCCATTATCCAGTCTATCGCATATTCATTAAGAAAAAGTATGCAGCCTTGACGGACACTAGTTCTTATTTCGACGAAGTCTGTCAATCCCCCATAAAATCCAGCTTGATTAAGGAGCATTCTACCTCATTCTGCCATAAGTCTATTTTGTAGAAAAAAATTCTCGCTGAAACATCTAGTAGGCTGATTCCTCGATAATTGTCTCAATATGCCCTGTCACATTCCCTAGAAAATGGGAACAGAATTGCTTTGTTCCAGTCATCTGTTATTATTTCTTCCACACCAGAGAATACATTTGTTGAAGGTGAGATATGGATGATGGACAATTTGAAAAGTACAACTCGGAGATCAGAAATCTTCTCCCGGAGTTTTATCGGTTCGCAGTTGCAAACATATGGTTCAGCTATATCTGATATCAGTTATATCGGTTCAGATATAACATATCATGGTTAAGTTTAGTTTTAAAAAATTTCTTTCACCTTATAAGGCGATCTTTGATAGCCTTAACAATCAAATCATTATTATCCCATATCATTTTAACGACCGTTCCTTATTTTATGAAAAGGGTGGAATACTTTCCCATTATTCGAACCGCTAATTCATTCTCAAGGCCATACCACTCCAATAGCGACTTCCCTCTCATCGTGCTGTTGAAGCACTCGATAGTCAGAAATTCTTACCATTTCGGCTTTGGCATTGCTTTCGATATTGAATTAGCGCATTCCCTACTAGTACATTCTAGTATGAAAGTGGCTTTCGCAGATATGCTTTTATTTGAGACCAATATTCATCCGCCGTTCAGAAATATCACTGATATTCATTCACTGACGTGCTTTAATAATTCTGTTTGAAATGCATTTACTGTCCCCTAATAATGTTTTATTTTGAGAAAGTTGAATGGTCTCGATAGACGCCTTTTCTTATGAGTTGATCAGTTTTATGCGAATTTTGGCTCACATCATAACATGGACTGACCCATTAAGGTTACCGCTGCCATGTTTGCCAATTAATGAATTCATCATGGTGGCATCTTGACCTAAGGAGCATTCCAGCCTCCCTTGATTATGACCTTTCTGCAGAGATTGTTAGCAATTCAAATTCCGCAAAGAAAATGCTAACCATTTGCTTTTTACTTTATTTCAGTGGTGCTTTAAAAAGTCACTCTGATTCGCACTCTTGTAAAACCAAGAATTATGCCGGAATCATTTTTTTTTAAAAGAATCGCAACATTCTCCCACCAGCTTTTTATAAAGACTGCAACTAAATACTCGCCACTGCTGGTTTGGTTCCTTTTATTGGCTGTAGACGGTATGGATGGTTTGATTTTGCCAGAGAAAAAAGTGCAGATGTGTACGCAGCGCTAGTCGGATTATTTAATAACAAGTTTATTATTGAAGGTAAGAACCGTGATTCTCGAAATAATCTAAGAAACAAAGGCAGAATGATCGAACAGTATGTGCTTCGATTGCGATCATGGGTTCGACTCTTGACAGGCATAAGTCTAAAATGAAATTCTTGGATAATCAACCACCCATTTATGCTAAAACTGCTTCGCCTAACGGTAACCGTTCGACTTTCAGAATAGCCACAGATAACCACGTGTGCCAGCGCTCTGATGGTTCGATGGTTTTGATGGTTTCGAGGAAACGGAAATGATTTGAGAATGATTAATCGCACTTTGACGATTTTCAGCTAAGGGAACTCAAATGAAATAAAAAAACCGGTTAAAAAATCACACCAGCAGGCCAAAAATTTAGCCAAGTCAAGTTCAATATGAAACACAACAATTGAAAGAATTCGATTCTTGAAACGATTATTTGCATACTGTATAATTAAATTGGTTGTAAAGCAATTTGGAGAAAACTCAGTTCGAATTTTTTGTTTCTAAGTCTTCTTGAAGTGGGCAAATTTGTAAAAAAATTTTTTATTTTATTTGCTGATTCGTTTAAATTCGCATTTTCTTCCAATTTTGATAAATTTTTTTGCATTTTGAATTTACAATTCCGACAATTTGCACGCGTTCTTTGGCATTTTCAATACTTTTTTTCAATACTTTTTGCGCTATTTTCTGACATTTTAAATTAATTCTTTGACGTTTTTAAATTTCTTTTGACATTTCCTATTTTATTTTTTTTAATTTGCGGCGGCTTGTGAATAAATGGAAATGGAAATGAAAATTATGTTGTAAACTGGCGTTAAAATTTTCGCAAGAAACGCTGAATCGGTGAGCGATGGGATTTTGAATGCATTTGCGGTTTAATAATTTGCGTGCGCAGACGGTGGATGAAGAGATGGATTTGGTCAGATGGCTTTCTTCGTATGGCGTCGGAGAAGTTGAAGACGCCTCATACTGGTCAGTTTAGGAATAGAATGGCTCAGTGGGTTATTGCTCTCGCTTCTGCTGAGGTTCCACTCCTGATAGGTGCAGACCTGTCTGCAAAACCCTGGTGATAATGGCTGTTCGCCAAAACTCGACAAAATTTATCTGATCCATCAAACCAACGAGTGATCTTAAATGGCAAATGGTGGGCGACATAAAAAAAAAACCAGTGGAGAATGAGAAATAATTCTCTTTCAAAAAATTGCGTATTGATATTGATGCGATGATGTATTTATATTTCATATATTTTCAGGTAAAAATGTCAATAATTAGTGGTCAAGGAAGTGAACATGCGACTAGAAAACGCTCAACAAGTCAATTTTCACGCGCTTTATCAGAAAATCGACGACTTAGTTCATCGGGAACAAGTAGTAAAAAAAAATCATCTGATTCGAATTCAGTGTATCCACCATTATGCAAAAAAGTGTTTAATAATTTATTATTCTAATTTTTAATAATTTTTAATAATTTTTTCTTCCAGATCTTTTAATATTCGGTAATTGGCCATGTCCAATGGCCAATGAGAGTAGAGGATATTAAGAAGTTATCTGCCTTTGACCACTCTTAATAGGTGTCTAATATGTGTCTAAGGCACATATTACGGATCCGTGGAGCGGATAAGATATCACAGGATCGCATACGTCTTCGTTCAAATACCATTTGCATAAATAATGTTATCACAGAACGCCGCCTTGGCTGATTAGGGCACATTCTTCGTCGTCCACCACAGAAGTTGGCGCATATTTCGTTATTTGCTAAACCGCGTGATAGTTGGCGTCAAAAACGAGGTGAGCCAATCAAGACCTGGACTGATACGATGAGAAAAGATTTTGAACGTATAGGTGGAGCAGCAATATATGGACTTAGACGATGGAAAAAGGAATGGCTTCCATTATTGTCAACGATAGCATCAAATCGCGCCACTTGGAAGCGTCTTACCCTTGTAGCCGTTAGAGCCAACCTAAGCAGTAATGGTGAGAGCTGTTCGAAGAAGAAGAATATTTGGTAATAAAAATGGTTTCATAGCTATCGTTGTCATTGGCCCATTGCTCCAATTTCAATTAAATCTGGTCCTGATATCTTCCCAAAAAATTTGAATTTCAGTTGAAAATTAAGAGAAATAAAAAAAAAATATTTGGCAGCAAAAATTACAATATTGCAGTACTTTGTTAGTATCTCCTAATAGAAGCCTAATTATCTCAGCGCCCTTTTTGTACCATCTGGAATGTTTGTCTTCTTTTTTTTTTCTTGTTCTTTTTTTATAATTCTATATATTAAATTATTTATAAAATTCCAAAATGAGAGGGGGAAAAGTAAATCAAATCAAACGCTCACATGATATCCAAATTAAAGGGAAATCAAGACAGAGAAAGAAAAAAAATTGGCACAATGGCGAATATGATGCTGGATACTGGATGAGATGAAAGAGCTTCTGGATGAAAAGAAAGGAACGATATGATAAGAAATGCTACACTAATCCATTACTTGACAGGATCGGCATACCGATTTAGTTGATCAATGTAAGAAAAGTGATGAATTAGGCAGCTGCTGCAAATCCTCACATTCTCATTTCATTATTCTTATATGGCTGAATTTGGAAAGCCAAACTACAATAAAAATCACAAAAATTAAAATATATTGTAGATTTGTGGGTTTGCAGAATTATTTTTCGGAATGAAATATCAATTTAATCTGGAATTTAATCCATAATTAAATTTCAGGTGGTCTGAGAATGTAGGAAAAAGTTAATATTTATTTTCACTAATCTGGAATCTAATATTTCTTTCAGTTGTTAATGAACTTCAGTAGTTTTGGTACATTTTCACGAGAAATCTTAGACATTTTCATATCATATTATTTTTCCATACCATTTGCATTTACTTTATTCAGTATCATATAGAAGAATTCCTAGAATTATCCATGGCACGAAATCTCTTGGTACCTCTTAATTCTTCTTCCAGTGACATTTGACCTGATTACTTCTACTTTGGCGTTTTCTACTATAGCGAAAAATTTCGCGAAAAATTATTAGAGATTCGTTTAAGGTGGAGTCACCCAAGCACCACTTGGAAGTAGACATTAATCTACTTTCCCTTGATTTTCTTATGACTGTTATTGGTTTCAATTTGTTTTCTAAAATGTCTTATTCATCCAAGAAATCTTAATTGGATTTTGATTAAATTGGAAATTAATTGTTAATTGATTGGAACCCTTAATTAATTAACTTTTAACATTTTAAACATTTGTTTGGCTGTTAGTTCCATGTCTAGAATGAGTTATTTTGATGGCGCTTTCGCCAGAGTTATTTGGATATTTGGATACATACAGGAATACATGAAATTCACCTTTAATTATTTAACAATAGGTTTAAGATAAAGACAAATCTTGTTTGTTTTTAGCAAAAGTAACATGCGACTTCATCGAACAGTGACTCATATTGTAAAAAAAAGTCCGATAATATTATAATAAATAACTGGTTATAGTCCGATAATAACTGGCTGTTACGAAAGGTTCAAGAATAATTGCCAGTTGCTGTTTCTGGAATCTTCATTTAGATAACTAATTGTCTCCAGAATTTCATATCTTTTTGATATTTGGTTGTCGGATTTTGTATGATTTTAATTTTTGTTCATTTTAGTTAGAATTCGATCTCCCAGAATATATACCTGAGGGAGATATTGAATATCCATTTGAAGATATCGATGAAATTGGCGATGAAAATAAAATACGCAGTAATTGGTCATCAAAAAGTGATTATCTTCTTTCGACCATTGGATTTAATTTTGGCTTAGGCAATATATGGAGGTAAGAAAATTTTTAGCCTAGAAATGGATAATGGATAACTGAAATACATTATTTTCATTAATTCAGAAATAATTTTGTTGGAATTTTAGGTTACTAATAGATTTATTACGAGAGATTCCGCGAATTTATAATAAATCAAAAATTCTCAGTAAATGAATCAGGGATTGATAAGTTTTAGAGTAAAATCTTTCAAATTTTCGAAAGATCTTTTTTTTATCATCAAAACCATCATCTTTTAATAATCTTATTTATTATTTTTCAGCAAAGTTATTTCAGATTTCCCTATTTATGTTTCTTGCATGGTGGAAGTGCATTTTTTGTGCCCTATTTTGTTATGCTTATAGTCGCTGGTATACCTACTTTTTTTATGGAGCTTTCTCTAGGGCAATTTGCCAGCGTAGGATGTATATCAGTGTGGAAAGTAGTTCCACTGTTCAAGGGTAATATTTTTCTTTTTTTCTCATAAAATCCCGTGAATAATTATAGTTTTTTTTTTTCTTTTTGCTTTTAGGCATTGGAATATCAATGCTAGTATTGGCTTGCATTATATGTATTTTCAATAATACAGTTATGGCTTGGTCGGTATTTTATTTTGCGAATTCTTTGAAACTCACTCTTCCATGGGCAACTTGTGCGAATGATTGGAATTCTTTAGGTTTATCAGTTGTTATTTCGTTATAAAATCAAAATATTTTGCGACTGTAATCCGAGACACTCTAATTAAGTGCAGTTTCATATGCATGTAGCTTATTGGTATCTGGATCAATGATATTATTTTATAAAATACAATTTAGATTGCTCTGTGTGGAATCGCGATAGCGTGACCAATTGTCACAAGCAAAATGGATCATTATTATTAAATGGTTCATGTGTCTTGAATGTTGCATTGGATGATCCAACTTTAAATACTTCTCAGTGGCCTATTTTATCTTTCAATGTATCGAATAATGCTATGCCAACTGAGGAATACTTTTAGTGAGCTCAAAATTTTCTTTATTTGAGCGATGAATTCAATTGTTGGATTCTGCTTTAATCTCTGCATTCAAATTTTTCAAATTTAAATTTGGCTTTGCTCAGTTTTTTTTGTTTATAGATTTTTAAGGGTCATAGAAATTAAAGAAAAAAGGAAAATGGATAAGAGAAGTATAAACGCAGTAACATCAAATATTCGAATACCAAAATGTGGAAATGGGGATGAGCAGATTAGTAATTTCTTATTGATTACTGATTGATTAATTTTCTTTGAATGATTTAAGGATTTCATACGTAAATTATTGCAACCAAAAAAAAATAAATAAGAACTGGGCAAACAATTGATGTCATTTTGATTATAAGTTGAAGCTAAATCTAGGAAAATAAATTAATTATATTGGACGATTCTAACTGAATTGTTTTTTAAAATTATAAAAAAATTAAAATATTTAAAGCAATGAAGTTCTTATGATGTCTGATGCTTTTGACGATGTTGGTTCAATAAACTGGCAACTGGTAATATGTATGCTATTGGCTTCATTCTTGACGTTTTTATTTCTGTTCAAAGGCATTAAATCTGCTGGAAAAGTTTTTTTTAATTTTTATTTTTTAAATTGAAATTATATTTTTTTCATTTTTTTAAAATTTTTCATACGTTTTAAGCGAATTATTTGTCCACATATTTTTCATTTTTAGGCAGTATACATTATTGTAATCGCCCCATATGTTATTTTGCTTGTTCTGTTCGTTCGTTTTCTTACTCTTCCTGGATCACTAAGTGGAATGCTTCATTATTTTTCTCCACGTTGGGACGTTTTAAAAAATTTAACGGTTCTTTTTCAATCATCGATTTTTCAAAGAAAGAAATCTTCATTTCTAGTATTTTTCCAGAATAACTCAAATGTTCTTAGTAAATGTTAATGTTAATAAATGTTAATAAGAACTTTCAAGGTTTGGGGCGAAGCTTCGGTTCAAGTTTTTTATTCACTTTCTGTTTGTACAGGTGGTATAGTCACTTTGGCCAGCTACAATCGCTTTCATAATAATATATTTAAGTAAGTTAATTTCTATTGAGCAAACACCTTATAGAGAAAATTTTAAACTTGCAAAGACTTTTTAAAAATTTTTCTGGAGATTGTTATCATGAAATTCTATATTAATTTTTTCTACATTTCAATAATACTTGAACTGACAAGTGAAATTCCATAGGAACATATGTTTTTTCTGAAAAATTTTTCCATTTTAACATTTGAAAATCTCTAAGCAATCAATTTGTTGTAGAGACCTTTGGTTTTTAAGCATCGTTGATAGTGTGACCTCAATATTTTGTGGTGCATTAATTTTCTCGGCAGTAGGATTTACGTGTTATGAAATGGATATACCACTCGATAAATTTCAATTGAAATGTAAATTTTGAAGTTTTTTGGAAAAATTGAAGAATTTTAACGTCGAAATTGATATCATAAAAATTCTTCAGCTGGAATGCACCTTGTTTTTGTGCACCTTCCTGAAGCGATTGCGAAATTACCTGTGGCTCCGCTTTATGCTATTCTTTATTTTATTTTAATCTCAATGATTCTTTTAACAACAACAGTAAGTTAAATTGGGGTATTGTATTTTGTATTCTTAATTCATATTTAAGTATTGTTGCAATTCTGATTAAGTTTTAAAAAAAGTGTAAAGCGAAGATTTTTTATTGCATTAATTTTGCTAACTGGACGCATTTAAAAAGATGTTTGCAACGGAAACAATTGTATCAGCAATCTGTGATGAATTTCCTGAGCGTTTGCGTCGAAATCATCGTCACGTTTTAACATTCGTGTGTTTGTTTTTTTATATGTTTGGCGTTCCATTCTGCACAGCTGTTAGTTCTGTTTTTATCTTATTTTTTTAAATATTCATTCATATTTTTGAACCAGTTTTATTATTTTTTAGTTAATCAATGAAATATTATAGATTTTTTGAAAATTTTCAGACCAATTTTTACAATATCATTATTCAATAAATGTCAATTAGATTTTTTCCAAAAATTACTTTTCAGGCTGGAATTTATTGGTTGATGTTGTTAAACGATTATGTTTTGACTTGGCCACTTGTTATTCTTGCGTTTTTTGAGTGCATGGCGATTTCTTGGGTTTATGGTTAATTTTTCTATATTTAATTGTTGTTTATTGTTTAACGCATTTATTGCTCCTTATTCATGGATTTCTTCAATCCAGGCGTCGATAATTTGCTGGACAATATCAAATGGATGATTCGATTCTATCCGCCTATTTATATCATTTGGAAGATCCAGTGGAAATTGATCTGCCCTCTTCTATATTTGGTTGGTTTGTTATAAAAGATCAAAATTCAATCGCTTTGTTCGGGAAAATTAATGGATTTTCAAAAATATTTTATATACCAACAATATTTAATTTTTCGATTTTGTTCGGCCGTATGAAAGATTATTTAACGGTGAAACTTGATTTTTGCAAATTTTTTTCACTGATATATGAAAAATGCTTATTTTATATCTTTATAGGTTATAGTATCTTTTGTATGGCTAGGTTATCAACCAATGAAATCTGGAAATTACATTTACCCGTCATGGGCAAATTTGATTGGTTGGATTATCTCCTTGGCTCCACTTTGTTTCATTCCAATAACAGCACTTATAAAGTTTTGCAATGGTAAAGGTCCACTTCCACAGAGATGGCGCGATTTATTATTTCCTGATGGCGAATGGGGACCTGCTTTGGCCATTCATCGTGCAGAGTATTATCCTCTTCAAATCCCTGAAGCAAGAAGACTTATTATACCTTCTATTAAACCGGTGCGATTTTTATTTAAATGAATTATATAAATAAACTATTTTATTTTATCAAAATGCAAATTGGAACCTATTAAGCGATTTCATATAGTTTTATCCCTAGTATTTTTTTATTCTTTTAATTAATTTTTATTTAGATTATCAATGGTAAAGAATTCATAAATGAATCATTTGAAAAAAAGGCGATTAATATGATGGATCATTCTATAACGAATCACTCTCGATCTCGTGCTTCCACCACTATTCCTTCATTCGATCGTGAAACTGCCATATAGGTTTCATTCATTATATAATGAATTCATTTGGTAAAATTTTTATTTATACATTTTTATTTTTATAATTTTAATTTTCTAATTTTCTAATTCTAATTCTAATTTTCATTTAAATTTTTTTATATGGTATGGATATTTTTTGAATTCTGATAGAAAAGTGCTTTATTGCTTTTAACTAGGTTACTGTAGAGATAGGGATTAAATTCTGGTTATTCAGATGCCTTTCAAAATTCTAAATTTACTGCTGCTTAAGAATTAATTCGTTCTTTTTCATTTTTATTATTTTGTGTTGTTTTATTTATTTTGCAATTGAATTATAAGAATTTTAATGTTTGCTCATTGTTATCAATATCTTAATCTTTGTTTTATAGGTCTTGCCTAAGATCTTGTAACCTTTTTGCAGAATTTTGTTATTTTTTAAATTTATTTGTTTTAGCAAAAGGAAAGCGTGCTTGAGACTTACTTTCATTTTAATCCTTGAATGAGCATAAATATTTACATCGATTTGCCGTTTTCTTAATTCATAAAAATAATAACTACTTTAAATTACACTGTGGCTTTAATAAGTTATATTACCATTTAATTTAATTTAAATTTTATTTTACTAAATATTCTTTAAATCACATGCAATATTTATGGTAGTTCCTTGTTATTCATCTTGATAAGTTCATTCAATAACTGCAGTTATATGAATTATATTTTATCAGACTCTATACCTCATATTTTTTTATAAGGCTCGATCAATTTAAAAAATTTGCAATATTTTTTTGCATTATTCTTATAAATTATTGCTTTTTTTCCTGATTTACGTTTTTTTACTAGCTTTAAATGCCTTATAATTTGCCTCACAAATTTTCGCTACTGCTGATTAATATCTAATTAATATTTCAGTTTAAAAATTGTCTTTCTGCTTATTTTTTTTCTTTAAGTAATGATTTTTGGTTATTTCAATGTGGATGGTGAAGAAACCGGTAATGAAGTTTTATGTAAAATTTTTTGGTGCTACTAAAGCATTTGGTCCACTGAGCTGAAGTTAATTTTTTTCTGCGAGTGTTAATTTGGTGATTTGGTAACCGTTAGGCTATAATTAAAATAAGCTCAGACGAAATGTATACCGTAATAGCATCCATTTCTTAGAATTATTTTATATTTTATATTCATTTGTGATACATTTTTTGCCGTTTTACAATATTCAATTGTATTATTTATATCGTTTTAAATAAATTCATGAGTTCCAATGTTTTGTTTATGTTTTATATGTTTTCTCTTAATCATACTTTAGACCTCAGTAATCAAATTCTATGTAAGATTGTTCACTCTAGGATTTCTGAACTTTTAAAAGAAGAAGCATCAAATTATAGGCGGAATGGACCAGTCGAACTGTGATAATTTAATAAATGAATGGTCATCATTTTTCAATGAATTTCAAAATATGGAGGTATTTTTTGCTTTGAATTTATTGCTATTTATTTTTGATGTATATTTAAATAATAAGGATAGGACGAAAAAGGTGAGGGTTAAAGTTTAGTAAATAATTGGTGCTATGTTTAATATATACTTAGTGTATTTATATATCTATATTCCTGATTTTCGGTTTTCAGAACCAAATTATTATAGATCAAATTAATCTTAACCTTAGAAAAACCTTAGAACCATTTAAAACCATTAAGCAAAAACCATTAAAATTTGAGTTTAGGAATTTTTTTAGACTGCAATTTTGTTTAATCGTTGAAAGTTTTCCATTTTTCATTGAGTTAACCTTTTTGCAGGATGAGCACGAGAAATATCTGATTAAACTAAGAGAAATAATGAAACTGCAGGGCGTTCGTCAAAAATCCGTAAAACATACCACCTATCGTTTGTCTCAGCTAAAGAATGATTTAGAAAAGTAAGCTTTGTTTTCAGCAAAATATCTGGAATATCTTCATCAAATATTTTATATAGCAATGTTAATCAAAAAGCTTTCAGTTAAAAATTTGCCTTACAATTTGCAGTAGAATTTCTTTAAAACTAATTATGTTTAATAACTGCATGAATTGCGCCAATTTTCATCAATAATTTTTGAAAGATTAGCTCAAAATAAATCATAATTAGTTGATATACTTTTAAATTTAATCCATATTGTATTTAGGTTAGAAAAGCTTGGCTGCTTAAATGATGAGCAAAAAATATCCTTAAGTAATACAAAAAGTGCCATGGTAAATTGTGAGGTGAAACTGAATGAAATGAAAGGGGAACTTCCCATACAAAACAATGGGTTTACCTTTTATTTATTACTATTATTTTTGCATTATAATCGATTCGATATTCTATAATTTTTGTTTCATGAAACTTTTTAAAGTTACTTCAAAAAAATGAAGCATATCTTTTATTTTTCGATAGTTTTTTGTTGCGATAGATACGATTTTAGATCAAAATTAACTTAATTTTTTTGATTGATACTATTTCTAGATTTTATTTATCATTGATACTTGGTAGTAATTTGAATTTATCCTTACTGAATCGAGATAATCGATATCGTTATAAACAAGAATATGAAAAATTTAAAGTAACTGTTAGCTATGCTGCACTATTCTTTTTCACATTATCGTTCCTTTTCGATTTCAGGTTTTTTTAATTATTTTTATATTTTTCTTGAATATATGAATTTTTTCGAGGATTGGTGATCAACTAAAAGGATATTTATTATAGTGTAATTTAGGATTTTTGATATGATATGTTCATTTCTAATGGTTTGGTATTATTGTACATTGACAATTCGCGAAGCCATTCTTAGCAAAAACGGTTCCAAGTTAGTTTCTCTTCTAAAAGCATTATTTTTGATTGGATGATTTTACTGACTATAATAGTGAAATCCCTTCGCCAGAAAGTTTTTTATAACCGTCTAATTGAATTTTTTAATTCTGAATTATTTTAGAATAAAAGGTTGGTGGAAAATTCATCATTATGTATCATGTGTCATTTGCGCTTTTGTTGTAACATGGAAAGATGGTCTATGCTATGAAGCTTATCGAAATCAATTTCTTATATTCAATATTTACATTGCATTAGTACAGGTTCTTTTTTTTCTTTCTTCATCTTTTTTCGTAGTTTGTAATTTGTAATAAGAAATTTCTTCAAAATAAATATTTCAGTTGCTACAATGTCGTTACCAAAATGGATGTTTGCGGCGGTTACATGCATTAGGTCAGCGTCATAGTATGGATATAACAGTGGGTGAGTTGATTTTTCATTAATGTAAAATAAAGAAACCAGTAATAACTTTACAATTCCCAAAATTAGGAAGCAAGGGATTCCCGAAAAAATTCATACACAATATGTAGAATTTTTTCGGAATTCCTCACAAAAAAAAATGTTATGTTACATTTAGTTACTGAATCTCTAAACAATTTCTTACAATCATTTTATCACTGGTAAAAGGACCTTCTTAAATTCATTTCTTCGTTATATTTTTTGGCATCAATTAATTCTTCTTCGGACCGTGGCATATAACATTTCATTGTCGAATCGCTATTATCTCTTATCACTTTCCGTTGTTCACTTAAAACGAGGTTAAGGAAATGTAAATGGAGGTGGTTGTTAAGAAACAGCTATTGGGTTTGAGGACAAAAGTGGTAGGAAACAAGACAATGTTTAACAATTGAAAATTTAAAATTAAAAATAATATAACAAAGCCTTGAAGTTAATGGAAAATTTAACGAGATTTAGGGAAATTTTTCATAAAATATGACCATTTTTGGTGATGTTAAAGGGTTTCATTTCCGCACATAATAAAATTCACTAACCATTTTAATATAAAATTATAATATTTCTATAAAATTATTTCTCAATAGCCCGAGTTTGTTACAATTTATATTATGTTTTTCCAATGTTAAGAAATTCTCATGTAAAAATTTGTGTTATATCCGGAATTGTAATGCTATGTTGTTCGAAATTATAATATTCGATCCACTGTTATCTTTTGTAATATGCAGTCCACTAATGTTTACTTTTATTTTAATAGAACATGGATTTTGGCATCTTAGAATAGCTACAATAGCTCTATAAGTTATATACCATAGTGTCATCAATATTTGATATTTTATTTGGATTTGAACTTTTAGAAGGATTTAGCAGCTGGATGTTCAAAGGCCTTACTTTTTTAATACCTTTCCTAGTGGTTGCTTATGCATTTCAATTTTATAATGCTTATACAATTTTCGTGATTTATCGAACAATGGATTGTTCTGGTCAATGGCAGGTTCTCAATTTTTTTATAATTTTTTAATAATATTCCTTTTTTTTAATAGATCATTTCTGATATGAACGGCTGTAGTGATTACCATAGAAATTCTTACGAGAACATTGCTTGGATATAAAAGTAGAGGTAGCCTTTCAGTATCACTTTTAGATTTTTTTGTCAAAGAACAAGGATCGAACCAGTGATACTTCAGCTGAAGCTAAATTTCACAGTATTCGTGAAAGATATTAGGAGTTTAATGTCTCCTATTAGTTGGAAAAAAGCTCTGGTAATTTGCAGGTACCAGCATTGGCTATTGCGTTCTTATTCGTTGCATGTGCCAATACATTCACACTAATCGCAGTGCTTATTAATAAATGGAAAAAACGAAGTTCTTATTCAGCATTACTCGAACTTATTAAATCAGGAGCACCGAAAGCTGAATGATTCGTTCATTTTTAACATGGAATATGTTTTTAAGAATTTTAATTTGGTTTTGCCTGTTTGTATCAAAATAATAAGTATTACAAGTAGACTGTTACTTTGGAATTCTACAATAGTTGAGAGCGAGTCGTTTGTGAAGAGCATTAATATTAAGATATAAACAAACCAAAGTGACGAAAATAAGACTGAAATCAGCTTGGAATCACAGCCAGTTCCTAACCTATATTTTTAAATTGGCGATTACGAGAAATTTAGTGATTAATCGCACTCATCTGATTGCAAGGAAGTATTCGGATTTCGCGCGCATCGTTTGTAAGGTGTTTATGCAACATAAAAATATCACAATGGACATCGCAAAAAATGAATTAACGATAATTAAATTAAAGCGAGTAAAACAATAAAAGCAAGCAAAATCGAATGTAGAGTTCCAATTAAAAACCAGTAATTAAAAATAATGTAGAAAACAAACGGCAACGAGAAATACAGTCGCCAGTATTTGCGCTTTAGTAAAATCGAGGCACTTCGACAAACTTTTTGATTTGACTTTACTGTTCAATATTTATGGTGATGTTGTTTATGGACCTCAAAACTGTTTCACATATTGTTGGTGCTTATTAATTGCAGACATGCGTTTATCAAATAATTCCGAAGAATTGCAATGTCCTAATTGCAAATTCATGTAGATTATGTTATTGCAGGTTATAATCATTAGGTTGCACAGGGCGCTCGAAACTTATTTTCAAGAGTTACAATTAAAGGACCAATACAACAAAATTTAGAAAATGCGGAAGTAAAAGGCAGTGCACCGAGCAGTGAAAAAAGCCAAAGTTGTCTAATGAATATTATTACTATAAGATAGTTTGGGTTTGTTTGCTGCACGCTCATTTCATATTCATATGGTTTCAATATTCTTTTTTTCATTGCATGTTTGGTTTGGTGAAAATGAAAAATGGGTGTATTTTGGTGGTTTTATTTGTGTAGCGCATAGGTATTTGTCATTTCTGAGGGTTATTTCTACTTTATCTGTAATGATTTGTAAAAAAAAAAAATTATAATAAATTGGTTGCTTATATTTTTGTACCAAAACAGAAAATTCAGTTAATAGTAATGCAATAAAAGAAAAGAGGAATTAAGCACAGCGAAAAATAAAGGTTTTACGGATGCGAAGTAAGGAAAAAAATATTTTTTTGAAAACATACAATTTAAAAAAATATTTGATACGGAAACGCGTTTAAAATGCATTCGCGATTGATAAGAATTCTGTATAAAACAGTTTAAATAAGCAGTCTTTCTAGCCAATGTTTGGGGATTTCTTGACTCCATTGAGTTCAAATATTTTTTAATATTTTTGAAAAGATTTCTGTCGATTTGCAAGAAAAATTACTCTATAAAGTTGTACCCTTTGCTTTTTTAATAAAAAACACATTTTTCTTGAAAAGTGAATTATCGAAATGAAGACATCGAAATAAATAAGAATTCGTTCAGCGCAGGAAATCATAAAATCTTGTTTCCGATGAATTTACTGTAATGCATATTTTTTGTTATCGACCTCTTTAAGTACTATAAAAGTAAAAGAAAAAAAAAAAACAAACATAGAAAAAACATAGACTGGTAAATTTCATCTGATTTGACTTTGCATCCATTTTTCCAGCTTAAAATTGCACAAAATCTAAACTGTTTCAGGGCGATGACTTCTCAAATTTTTAATTTGTGGAGGTTATTATCTTATTTTTTGTTTTTACTGAAAATTGTAAAGATTTCATGCTCGTAAAAAAATTTCTTTAAACAAAATGCTATTGTGGAGAGATTTGAGGGAAAATGAATTGATTTCTAGTATAAGTGGTTGGGCAGAGGTTGAAAATTAACTTGGGAGGGGTGTGGTTCTTCAGTTCGTGTTTTAATGGTTTGTCGTCGTACCCAAGAAGGCTAAGAAATTTTTATTTTTATTATAACAAGTTATAAATAATAAAAGTTCAAGATAAAAATTAAAGGTTATAAAAGAAAAACAAAGGATAGAGTAGATAGCTTCAGCTTCTTCCACAACTTCCAAATGAGCCTATTTTATACGCATATATATATATATATATATATATAGTATTTTCTTTAGCGAAAAAAAACATTTTAATGGAAATGGCATGCAACGAATAATTAACAAATATTTATACAAAAACTATAGTTATCTGATTATAGCCTTAATAAATACGAGATTCAAGAACACACGCTAAATTAGTTTTTTGGGTATACAAAAAAAGGGAATGGAATTTTGCTAAATCAAGGTAGTGAAAAAAAAAACAGAAAAAATTATTGTGAGAATTTGAAATTAGTAAGCTGACACAGCAATTATTTGAGGAATTTATTTTTTTATATTTTAGTGATTTGCGACAAATGCAGTAAATTTTCATGGTTTATTTATGAAAATGTTTTGCATAGTTTTTAATCGTAAGATTTAGAAGATAAATTTAAGTTTTTTTTTATTCAATATTATTATTTACATAAATTTATAAAATTAAAATAGATTTAAAAGAAATTTTATTTGAAGAAGTCAATAAAAGTAATTCTTAGTGAGGAAGATTGCTCAACAATATACAATTTCTTGAACTATTCCATCTAAATAAATAATTTTCGAAATCGCCCAAAACATAAACTTCGGCTGAAATTCTCCAAATTGAATTTTTTAGATTAAATGAAATGAATTGAAAGGCTGCAATGACTGCATTCAGCTCGTTCGATGAAATTTATGTAAGACACACTAACTAATGCATAAATGTTCTTCCGAATATCATTTGTTTAAAGAATGGAACATTTAACTACGAATGGAATTTTTTGGAAAATTTTCCGTTGTGACTAAAGCTGCGCTTTTTGAGACGAAGCATTTTTATGATCCTTCACGTTTAATTAATTTTGATAGAATTTTAGTCGAAGTACATTTTTATTTTCGGCATAATTCATTAGAAACCATTCTTCACAAACAACTGTTCTCATTCTTGTTCTTTGAGCTACTAAAGTGGGATCCTCTGGTGAAAAAACACATTGGAAATCTGTTATTAATTAATAGTTATTAGCCCTATTTTTCGTGTGAGTGTCTGCTGAAGGTGTTTTTGATTCAAGCATACATTTCTGCTTTACGTCTGAGTACTCCTTATGCAGTAATGCAGGGAAGTGCCGCAGTGATAAGCGAGACGCAGCAGTAAAGATTTGTTAAGGAGTCCTTCCTCTTCAGGTTGAATAGTTGCTAATTTGCATTAAGCAAGTTTTGCCAATAAACTCGAAGAAATATTGTCTTCTGTTATTCCATTTTCTGTTTACTTTCAATTTACAATAAAATATTCATAAAAATATGCTGTGAAAATAATTATTCATTATAATGAAAACCTGTTGCGAAATTGCCACAAGTATTAATAGTATTCTGATTCCGTTGTTGTGTAAAAAAAAGTGCATAACTGAATAATAATTCGTAAAAATAACCGCAAGCAAGGTATATGACTGCATTTTGCTAGCCAAAACTGGCAGCTTTAACGCGTCAGTTTTACGCTGTGGTAGAATTAAAATCCAAATAAAAGTGAGAACACGGAAAACAAAGCGTTCCTCAAAATCTGTTGATTTTCTCAAGCTAAAAGATTTAGGAACAAATTTCAACTTGAAATACTGAGGTACCTCTTCTTCTTCTAACAGCTCACACCATTACTGGTTAGGCTGACTACAAGAGTATGACGCTTTTATTAATTTTGTTTTCACCTAATGTCTCAAATTAACAAAAAATATTCGCAATTTCCACTTAAATTGCTTCATGATCAATCTTTTATCCAAAAGAAAAAATGCATTTATTTCTGGGAGCGGTCTCGTTTATTAGCCGAAATAAAAGGTACATTCACTTCTGGAATCGGACTTATTTATCTTCTCTCTTCTCTGCTAACAGCTCACACCATTACTGGTTAGGCTGACTCCAATGGCTACAAGAATATGACGCTCCCAAGGGGCGCGGTCTGATGGCATCGTCGACAGTAATAGAAGCCATTCCTTTTTCCATCGTCTAAATCCATATATTGCTAGGCCATCTATACTTTCAGAATCTTTCCTGACCGTGTCAGTCCAGGTCTTGATTGGTCCACTTCACTTTTGACGCCACCTAACAAGTAACAGTAATAGTTTAGCGAGTAGCGAAATATGTATCAACTCCTGTTGTGGGCGACGAAGTACCCTAACTGGCGAAGGCGATGCTCTAAGGCGATGATAATATTATTAATACAAGTGGCATTTGAACGAAGATGGTGAGTCAAATGATCTTCTCTGGAACACCGTCACGTGCCATCAACCTCGAAAGTGCAGCCCTATAAATAAAATCGAAGGCAGCCGCAAAGTCGATGAAACACGTGGCGGTGGATTACAAATATTTGAAACGATGTTCTAACCCATCAACCATCAACCCTTCTAAAAGTGAATATCTGGTCAGCATAACCACGCCCCGAATCTAGCTTCTAAATCTGAATCTAGCTTGATTAGGGCGCATCCTGCTGTCCCATTAGTCTGTTGAGTAAAAAGGGACCAAAAATTTTCGCTGAGACGTCTAGTAGGCTGATAATTTCTCGATAATTTTCGCACCTTCCTATCATCTTTTTTGAAAATTGGGAGTAGAATTCTTTATTCCAATTATCTAGTAATATTTCTTTTTTTTTCCATACCATAGAATAGTGATGGATGCGATTAGTGATTTGTTAAAGAATAATAATGGATGCGAATAGTGATTTGTTAAAGATGCGTTATAAAGGACGATGGATAACATTTAAAGAATTCAGCTGGAAGACCGCCTTTCCCCGGAGACTTATTGGCCTTAAGCTTATGGATAATGGAGATTATTTCTTTTTTTGCGGTAATTGCAAGCGTATGATTCGACGAATGTATAAAATATCAGTGGTAACAGATGGCAGGCACTTCATAGTTATTTTTAACCTCAAAGAATTCTTTCCATCTTATGAAGCAGCACGGCGGCATAAAAATCAGTAAGG